GATCTGAGTAACAATGACCTGCATGACTCTGGTGTGGAGCTTCTTTTTGAAGGACTGAGGAGTCTGAACTCTCAGTTGGAGATACTGAGGTGAATGGTTTCAATAATTAATAAAATGCTGCCTCAATGAATGGCTGCTGGATTTTGTCGCCAAATTTGGCGTCTGCTCTTGATGGAATAGCAGAACAAGTGACAAAAACAACCTTTGGATTGTTTGCAAAGATAACCCTGTTGAAAAAAACAGCATATGTTGGTTAGGTATGTTTTGAAGCATGGCTGCTGGTTTGAGCTGGTTTAAGCTGGCCTTTATCTGGTCATGTGCTGGTCCTAAGCAGGAGCTAGTTGCTTAGGACCAGCACAAGACCAGCTTAAACCAGCTCATGACCATATGCTGTTTTTTTTTCAAAAAGGAATAGGAACTTTTTTTTTTAAAGATGCTTAGATTATTTGCTAGTGACAACTACATTGTAGGTTATAATGAAATGTTTTTTTTTTACCCCACTCTGTTCTGTTCAGATTGGTGCTCTGTAATCTCACTGCTCAGTATTGTGAGAGTTTGTCATCAGCTCTACAGTCTTCAAACTGTGTCCTGAGAGAGCTGGACCTGCGTAACAATGACCTGCAGGACTCTGGTGTGAAGATTCTTTCTGATGCACTGAAGAGTCCAAATTGTAAACTGAACATAGTCAGGTATAAATAAGTGCATCTGATTTATTGTCTTAATTAAAACATAGTGTAACACATCTATGTTTTTGTATTACATGTGATATCAATAATTACAACACATTTGCTAGTTAACAATCTGAAACTCAGTTTTTGAATTTGTATTGAATATGTGTGCAATACATTTTTTATTCTGTCTAGATTGGCCATGTGTAATCTCACTGGTCATTCATGTGAAACTGTGGCATCAGTTCTACAATCCCCAAACTCTGTCCTGAGAGAGCTGGATCTGAGTAACAATGACCTGCAGGATTCAGGAGTGAAGCTTCTCTCTGATGGACTGAAGAGGCCAAACTGTCAGCTAGAGATACTGAGGTATTAAGAACAAGGGATGGTGTACAGTTATCTGGTCATAATGTTGATTGGTGTCTGTAGATGATCTGTCTGTGTGTGTCTGTAGGTTGTCTGGCTGTATGGTGACAGAGGAAGGCTGTGGTTATTTGTCTTCAGCTCTGAGTTCAAACCCCTCACACCTGAGAGAGCTGGATCTGAGCTACAATCACCCAGGACAATCAGGAGTCCAGCTGCTCAATGACAGCCTGAAAGATCCAAACTGCTCACTGCAAACTGAGTGAGTTGTATGACGAATCATAAAAAAATTAAGGCAGACACATTAATAAACATATATGAACACATGCATGCATAAGCTTTTTACTTACCATAGGAAAAGGTGCAGGTGTTTTGGCAGCAGATACAGTATGTTTTCATGTTGGGTGAAGTATGAGAGAAATTTGCCTTGTTTGTTAAGCTTGTGACTTGATACCTATTTTAAACAATTCGTAGCCAAATTCATTCAAATTTTGAAGAAGTAAAACTGATATAGTCTACTTATATAGTTTACAATTAAAATCAGAAATACCTTCTAATATATATTCAATTAGGTGTCTGAATGTTTCAAAGACTTGAGACTATCACTGTGTACACTAGGTACTAGAGCAACAAAAGCTGAAATCTCAGTTGCATTAAAGGCTTAAAAGAACTTGGCAGTAGCTAGTAACACTTGTTAAAACAATACAAATAGAAATGTGTAAACCAGAATTATTTTTTGGTACCATTTGATGGAAATAAGTGCAGTTAGATTAGCTAGATATTTGGGTGAGGATTGCTAGAATGTGACACTATTATATTGCAAGAAGTATCACTTAAATTTTGATTGTATAAAAATATAAAATCATCGACATTCATGCATTTAGCAGATGCTTTTATCCAAAGCAACTTATTTTTGAATTGGATAACTCCCTGATTTGGTATCCCCATTAATTTTATCAACGGAAAATAACTATTTTGTTATGATATGTTTTTGTTTGTTTTCTCACAGTGTGGAGTGTGGCGGAGTGATCAGGATAAGAGCAGGGCTGCAAAAATGTGAGTGTACACACACATACACTCCTAAGTCATTTATTTGATTACTGATTGTGGCTTGTGGCCACAGAGTAAAGCCATTTTCATCCTTACAACACTTTTTTGTTTGTTTGTAATGTTTAATCAGATTGTTTGTCATATTTGTTTGGTCAAGGTCTTTGGTAGATTGTAAGCTTTTTCAAAAAACTTTTTGAAATCAGAATCATTCAGCAATGACTGAATAATGTATAATGTAGTTTAATGTTCTCTCCTCTAATCATTCATGCTCAGATGCCTGTGATCTCACACTGGATCCAAACACAGCAAACACTCACCTCATCCTGTCTGAGGACAACAGAAAGGTGGCACATGTGAAAGATCATCAGCCGTATCCTGACCATTCAGACAGATTTGAGCACTATCTTCAGGTTCTGTGTCGAGAGAGTCTGACTGGATGCTGTTACTGGGAGCTGAACCCCTCTATGCTGGATTCAGCCTGTCTAAATGTTCAGTGTTTCTGTGTCAAATTAAATAATCTCTAATAAGGAACAGGTGTGCCAAAAAAAAACAAACAGGTTATGTGTAAATAGGCCTGCACAATTAATCAATCAAGCAATCAATGTTTCTATGTTGTTTATATGTTTCTGTTGGCAATGTATTCTTTTTTTTTTTAGCATAGAGCATTGCAGCCAGTCAAAGGCACATATGTTGAGCACATTAATGCTATGTTCAGTCAGAGGGGTTTAAATAACACATTTGCTCAAAACAGCACAGTTTTGTATGAACTTCAGTATGAACTTTACAAATGATCTCACACACAACCAGGTGCATTATGAGATTCTTTGGGCAGCATAGTAAGGTTCTTAGAGTATAATGGCAGCGTCACAATTTAATATAGCCATACAATAAAATAAAGAGCTGTCAGCTGCACATAGATTTTATTCCACTAGTTGATAAGAAAGGTGAATTTTGAAGGTAGTGTTTAATTGTTCTAATTTTAAAAAATCAACAGATTTATTTATTTACCTATTTATTTATCTATTTAATGTATAATCTAAATGTAATGTTTTAATTTTAAATAAAGAGAGCATTCATTCCAACCTTCATCAACTGTGCAGTTCCTTATTGCCAGTGGATAAAAAGTGAAAGTGATGTGACGTGTGGCCAAGTATTGTGTCCCATACTCAGAATTTGTGCTGTATGCATTTAACCCATCCAAGTGCACACACACACACACACAGCAGTGAGTAGTGAACCAACAAACACACTCACACACACACACACACACACACACACAGAGAGAGAGAGCAGTGTGTCTGTAGCTAGTGTATATAACGAAAACTTTAATGATGCCTTAACGAATACATAATAATTGAAACTTTGCAGCCATTCATTTCCATAAATTCTGTAACAAACTATGTGACGGTAAACTGACAGATAATTCAACAAGAACAAGGAATTTGTTGCACTACATTTCCGTCCCTTGCACTCTTGTACTGCTGTAGGTGCAACACTTATACATATGAGTATTCAATAATCTTGAAACACACTTGAGAATACTATGAAACTTTTACTTCTATGTATGTCAGGCTGTGATTTGATGGAGAGACGAGACATTTCCCAGTTTCAACAGCAGGTGGTGAGTTTCCTTACCAGTATATTAAAACATGCTGCAGATTCCTCCAAACGGAATGGTAATTTGATTATTTTTATTTTATAATTTTTAAATTGTATTTGGCTCATTCAAACTACGTTACTAGCATTATGTTTAATTTTAATAGATTATGCAAGGATTGTTGAGTAACCCACACAAATGTAAAGGATTTAAAGAAAAAGCTGAGGCAGAATCATCAGTGTTTAATTATTTTTCTCATTGGAGACAGTCTCATAAGTACATAATACTGTGTTTCTCTCTCTTTCTTGCTTTATTTAATGTTCATTGAGTAATTGTGTGTTATATTGTTTAGGTGTAGGCTGCACAGACAGATTTGAGGTGGGGAGGCTGTGGCTAATGTCAAGTCACATGTCTTTGCCTATGCATGCATAGATTAATCAATCTTTTGCAAGTTGATATATTAATATATTCATCTTTGAACATGCATTTCTTATGATGTAGAACTGGATAAAATACTCTCTAGGGCTGCACAAAACTCAGCTGCACATCTCCACTAATTTCCAAAACATCAATATCTTCCAGTTTAGTGTAATGATGCTTGTACGTGTGAACTTCTTTGCCGCTGACAAACACTTCATAGCGCTGATGTGTGCAGTAAATGGTGACCTGAAATGCACATAACAATGTTAGATAAAGTGATATAATTTATCATCATGTCACAAACAAACAAAACCTCTAGACTTACTAAATGTGTGTCAATGCACTCGTTTTAACTATAGACTACCCTGATTATTATTAGTTTTTTTTTATCTAGTCAAACATTAAACAGTGCATTTAAGGCTATGTACAGGGATCAAAGCTGTATGCCTACCAGAAAAGGTTTCCCTAACTCGAATGGCATGTCTTTGGATCGTTTATCCTTGACCTTTTTCCCGTTCTCATAGCTCTTGCACACAACCACATTCGTATCAAAACGAGGACTGTAGTAAAATGCCACTCCAGTTTTGTGACGCAAATTAAGCTCTATTCTGTTGGGAAAGGAGAAAACGGTATCTTAAAAAAGACTTTAAAGAACACTGTGATTCAGTGATCAGAACATTTGTCATTTTGACATTTCAAGAGTCTTCAAGAAATTTGAAACCAGAATTCCTGCTCACAAACCTATTTGCAGAATGACTGATGACTCCTTGAATGATGATGGCTTTGCCAGGCTGTAGTCCGCCATGGATGATGCTTTTGTATGGGACCCTCTGATCGTGAGTAATTAAATATGATTATATATAAAATTGTAATATTTTTTTTATCATATTCTGTCATGTGATATCATATATTGTTGTCCAAAGTCCAACTTTAAATAGTCAATTAAATCAATATTTACAATAGCTTTTTAAATATGTTTAAATGTAGAAAATTGCAATGGTTTAAATAATTAAATGTTTTTTGATATAAAAAAAAAATAGTCAAAATATGTGGGGCTCTTTATAAAATGCGATTTTCATGTACACATCTAGCACTGTCTGAGCCTTAGAAAGTATAATTGATACAATACAGTAGCAGTGACAGCAGTATTAGATTAATAATAATAAATCTATTGTGTAAGAGCACCAAACTGGTCATAGAAGTTTTATAGAGATGCCATGACATTCAAAAACAAAAGCATAAACACTCTTGGTGTTACAATAATATTGTCTTATGATTTATGTGGCCATGCATATTCATGCAGATAAATCATTGAGCTATTAAACATTTCAAAACTTACAAAAGATCCCGGAGTTGCAGCATGATGAGTCTGCAATTGAAATGAATTGAAGGAGTCTATTACAACACATGAAGCAAAGTAACTGTAAAGGAAATTGCATGTGTGTCAGTATTTAAGATAACAGAGGTGATCATTTAACAGTGACATGGTTCTGATGAACTGAAATGTCTCTAAATTTGTCTCTCAGGTATGGCAATAATAATAATAATAATAATACAAAATCTTCTGAAAGTAAGCAGGTCCCCAAAGGAAAATAATGATAGTTTAGATCATTTGGCCATTTATATAATTAGTCATGCACATCATAGCAATAATTGTCATATATAAACAGTGTTCTGCTCATGTAAAGGTTTGCGATGTAACAATAGGGTCGATGCATCCTCAAAACCAGCTGTGACAAAGCCTTTTTATCTAAAGCATTTGTCATTTTCTGATAATTCCACAGGCAACTCCATTATATATATATTTTTTTTTTTTCCTCATCCCATGCGTAATTGTCTGTTAGAAAAGGACAGGACATTACCGCAAGATCTTGGAAGGCAATTAAGTTCACTTCCACCAGTCCACCTACACAGATGCTGTTCACATGTGAGAATGGTAAACGGTGCTTGTACTCCGAGAAGGGTTTCCCATTGGCACTTATCTAGAAAAAACATAAATACTGTTGTGTTTCTTAAAAAACAGATGGTGGACAAAAATTTAATTCTCATTTTTGTGGACAACAAAAGGGTCCTTTTTATCTTGTACAATGAGCCACAGGAACACTAAATAAAGTAATTAAGGAAACAATGGGAACTCATAAAGTGACCAAGAGCAAAAGGGAAGAGTGATCTAAACTGTAGCAAATGTTAGGGACAATATGATATTTGTGTCTGCTATGTTGGTATTTAAGCCAATAAAAATAAATGCTGTTAGCCACAAACAATCATTAGCTACATATCATAACGTAAAGTTAAACTGCATCGGCATCATCTAGCAATGGTAAGATTACTTTTAAGATAGAAGCTTTGTACTAGCTAGGGCTGTCGCGATAACCGCAATATCGCAATACCGCGCTACTGATGAGCAAACTGCAGAGGAATGCAAGAACCGCAGCAACCGCGTTTTTTGCGCGTTTTCTTTTTCCGTAAGGTTATGCCCTTCTCGTTTTACACTTCATGCATGTGGACTGAATAAGAGTACATTGTTATTCACCTGTTTGAGTCTGATGGAACTCGTCCACATACAGTAATATTCATTCCATCCTGCAATCTTTCCTCGATTGGACTAGTGAATGGGACACTCTGTGTGAAAGGATTTCATATCAGACATTTCATAAAATAAGATCCACGAATGCACAGGAAGTGAAAAATATGTGTGTGTGTGTGTATATATATATATATATATATATATGTGTGTGTGTGTGTGTGTGTGTGTATATATGTATATATACACACACATACATATATATTATCAGATTTATTTTGATAAACATGGCACCATAAGATTATATGAAAAATTATTATTTATTTATTTTTTACTGTTAGGAAAACATGGATTTGTGAGCATTAGCGAAACTGAAGGTGTCCGAATAAACACGAAAGTGAAACACGCATTTGGAGAATCTGGCACATGCAAACAATTTTGTCGACTATAGAAATGTGTCTACAGTTGAATATAAGACACGTAAGATAAGTAGCTTCTGTGAATTTTGTATAGCCATCAATATAATCAACTGTTTTGATTCATTTTAACTCTTTATATTTTATGCAGATTGTTGCGATTAAATCACAAATCAACACAACAGGATATTAATAATCATTTTTAAGTAATTAGTCACTTACTGGGTTGAAAAACAGCGTTTTCTCAGCCATTATTCCAGTTTCTAAACTTCAAGTTTCTTTTCTTCAGCTTGGATTCAAGGCAGACCACGACGGAAATGTCCAGTTGTTGTCCAGTCATCCACCATGGACTCTAAGGATGGGTGGACCGATACAGACTTATTTCCGGATGATGTAATTATTACAGGAGGATCGTCACATAAATAAGATGGATGTTAAATGTAAATCCGTTCTCACATCAAAGGTGTCAATAAACTGTCAAGCCTCTAGCATCACTAGACGCTAAAGGCAAATGGACGAACAAGAAACGGTATTGCTTGCAAATGTTCGCCTTAAGCGTCAAATCAT